TGCTGGTATTTTTCGAGCGGATACATAACTCATTCCGCAACTATATCATCTAGAAATCATTTTTGATCAGCTATGATAAATTCATTGAATGCAACAGAACAACTAAAATTTATTGCGTCGACACGAAAAAAGCAATTAAAGAAAGAACGACGTTGTGATCGAATCAGCAATTTCGCAGTAATACATATACTTCAAACGATACGATTAAAAACAAAAAAAATCAGAGCAACAATATCACATCGACCTGAAGGTTCTTTTTATGGGAGAAAACAACAACTTACATCTCGAAAACGGCAAACAGGAAGGTTGGTGTCTGGTAGAAATCGTGAATATTTACTGAAATGCAGCGATAAATCTGTACATTTATCAACACTGTTGATTCAGCTGATAACACAATCATCACAGCAACGATTTTGCAAGCAGTTTTTTCTCTTGAGATATACTTACATCACAGAAATACGTACCACTGGTAAGGTTTTGAATTCAAAAACTTGAGGAATGTTTTGGTAGGGAAGCTCAATCGAAATCAATTCAATGAACGCTCAATCTGCATCTCATATTTAACGATTAAGGAGAGCCGAAAAAATTGCTCAAAACAAGAGGCAACACACCAAACTGTACAAACGTTGCAAAGCATTCACAGACTGAAACAGAAGGTGGAATGTGAAAAAAANGGAATACATTGCAAAGAGATCCCTATCAACACCCAAAGTGCGAAAAAAAACCTCAGATAAGACTGAGACAATCAAAACACCATCGCGTGATCTCAGCAATGAACGCCATAATCGCTGATAATCTCGTCTATCAAAGCAAAAACAACAAAACACTCACCAATTCACAAAGGAGCAATTTTTATGAAAGTGATCACTGGAAGTGTACAATTCCAAATAACGTCATAAATCAAAATGCATTAACAAGACGATATTCATCTTTCTATTATTTCATACGCACATAGGAGCGAATAATTCGACAGACTCGTTTGAAGAGGTTAAGATAAATTCAAAAGGTCAATATTGTAACAACAGTGGATTCGAAATCTCAATTGATGGACGTGATATGAAAGGATAACAAGCAATTCGCAAGTTTACATTTGCTAACAATTACGATGTAAGTTTCAGTGAGTGCCAGTCGAAATGGCGTTTGCATGCGTTAGCATATATAGGAGGCATGAAAGTCAGGATAAAACTGATTTACGTGATACAAAACCTTAACCGAAACGACCAGATCAGCCTACTTATGTGGCAATAAAAGAAATGTTACGAATGTGTATAAAATGGTCAAGGCGGGTTACGCGCATCGTGTCATATAATATATAACAACGTTAAGAGCAAACGGCATGCTAAATGTCATCATTTCCAAAGCAATTGTGAGAAAGAGACTGTGATCGATGAATAAGGCACCAATAAAATATATGCAAACGTATAAATAAGGACGGAAATGCGATTCAGATACAATCATTCAATGCGGGAGGTGGAGAGAGAGAATGATCCAGATGTAGATATTAACAAAACATAAATGGAGATAACGAGAAGAGGGAATTAACCTCAGATGAGATAAAGAGGGAATGAGCAACTTCTCTTTGCAAATAGGGACTAACGGACGACTGGACAGAGGCAATTACACGAACCAGTTGAGTGACCCTCCCAAACATGATACAACTGTGACAAGCAACATCATGCAAACGTGACAGACATAAATACTGCTCAATGATGGCACCAGATATGAACTTCAATTCATTGCAACTTCACTCAAAATTTTCTCTTTCACTCAATACATAGTTTACCAGTGTTATAGCGCTCCGTTATTGATATTATTTTCATTACTGTTAGAT